TTATACTCGTCATTTTTTTGAAAATTTTGATACTAAAATCGTTTTTTGATTTTCCGTAAAGTACGCCTTTTTAACAAAACATTGTCATTATGTACTCGTATATTCAAGTAGAAGTCAAATAAATAAAATTAAAGTAATTATAAGTATGTATTGTATTTCTATAAATTTACCACTTTATAATTATTATGAAAAATGTTTGTGGTACACTGTAATTTAAAATATTTCGGATATTTTATTTTGAATAAACCAATTATTAAATTCAATAAAATGAGTGGAAAGTGATGAGTAAAATTTGTATACATACATTTATTAAATTGATTAACAATTTAATAAATTATGATAATTTAACATTATGTTATAATTTAGTATGCGTTAAAATTAAAGTGTATTGTGTTAAGAATTAATTTGACTTTTTTAAATGTTATAATTTTCTGAATAGTTTATGATTTGATTATGTATGTTGTTGGACTATATTATATTCAATCATTTGTTTTACTATTACTCAATACAAGAACATAGCTCGAACAATGCCAGTCCTTTCACATTACATTATTACTATTATTTGTCTTTAGACTGAAATAATTTATTCAAAGTAGTCGAATTGTGATAAATCATAATTCAAAGAGAGACTTAAGACAAGCTTAAAAAACATTTAGCAAGTATGTTATTTTCTTAATACATTTGAATGGCCATACTTAAAACTGACAATAAATTTATTTTAATTTTTCTATTTGACTATATATGAAGTATATGACTTTATAAATACTTATTTGATTATACATTATTACATAGCTATACTAAAAAAATAATTTAATAGAAAATAAATTCATTACCGTAATGGCAGTCAATGTTGCTATAAAATAGTGTAAGGTCACGTAGTTCATTGGTTTTTTTATAAGCTGAGAGACCGTTGTATAGGTACTGCAAAAATATTGTATTTAATATTTGAAAATGTATCCAAGAGAAATTACGAAAATATAAATTTGGAGCGTATAATAATAATATCGTAATAACAAATTAGGGTGTTCCTTATAAAACACTTAGGAATGTCCTCATTTAAATTGACATTTTAAACCCTTAAATATATTCTACTAAGTCAAAGATACATATTATAAGCATATGAACTGCTTATATTATTTTTGTATTAAATATATTATTTTAATATATTTTATATTATTTATTATATATTATTTGTAATGTATTATGTAAATGTTGTGTTCTTCCTTTATTTTTTTTAAACACTCAAATAATTTTTTTAAATATTTCAATGTCATAGATTATTAAGGTGTATTAATAAATCTAGTCAATAAATATTTTTCATGTAGATATTATTAAAGCTGAGATGGTACTTTCAAAGAAATTTTAATTATAGGGACAAAAATGTAATTGCCTTTTAAAATTTAAAATATCCATTCATTTTTTAAATAATTGTACCAGTACATAAGTACCTATATTTAATTCATATTTATTCTTTTTTAAAAAAGGAATATTATTGATTTTAATATAGTTAGGTTTGTTACCTTTTTTACTTCTCTTATGTACAGTGAATTAACAGTAGATATTGTACAGTAAACCTTAAGTACGATTATTTTACAACTTGTCTTTATAACTAACATTATTAATTCACTTTATTTGTACAAAGAATCTGTTTTATACATCTTGGTGGACCACAGCTTCAATAGTAGGCATATTGGGAATTGGTTTAATGTATTTCAACGTTTCAGCATACAATTTTTCCCAATCTTCCAAATCTAAACTCTAACAAATATAAAAAATGCGGTTCAGGATTACATACGACATATGTCTGATAAATAAAGGCGTACCTATGCAAGATAAATACTGATGATTATGTCGTTTATAGCTTGAAAAGAGTTTTAATTAGTGTTGTTTAATAAATTGTAATGAAATCCTTGTTTATCCATCACTTTTCACAAACACGAAAATACAACGATAAGAAAAAAGCAATATTTACACTAGTGCCAAAGTTTTACACAATATAATGGTTTAAAAACAACACAAATATATGCTATTTTAATTCAAAGGGAAAATAGTTGATTTAGCAATTTTTATTTAATTTAAGCCCTTTAATATTTCTCGTAAGAAAAATGTTTTTCCTGATAGAAAATACATTCAAAATTGTTCTTATACCAGGTGAGCATTAAGGGAGGGGGTCAAAAGGGACATTTGTCCAGAAGGAAGTTTTGAGGGGGTAGTACATTTTTAAAGAAAATTTATACAAACGAATATTTTTACAAAAGTATTTGTAGCATAAAAATATAAACATCATTATATTCTCTCTAACCAGATATCAAAGTGTAAAGGGTATCATGTAAATATATTGAAAACCCCAAAATTAAAACTTATAATAATTATATAGCAATGTATTATTATAGATTATATTATAAATCAGAGTATTTCAAATAATATGATATTTATGTAATATATCATAATATGTTAACACTTAATTATACATGTTATATATATATATATATAGGTATATAAGGGTTGCCACCCATCCCGTATTTCACGGGATAGTCCAGTTTTTATTCGATTTGTCCCGCGTCTTGGCTTAATGAGCATATTGACCTGTATCTGAGTATTTCTTAATGTCATTAATTATCCATGCTATTTAAAGTCAATAGATCTATGCATTTTTTCCACAAATTACAACCAAGAATTTTTTCCAAATCAATTGAATTAATTAATTTTTAAATTATTTGTCACTCATATGTAACGCATATCCAATTATTTGTACTAAATACTAGCATTGATTAAGCATACGTAATCAATGGTAGAAGTATTATAATATAAGTGAATACCTTATATTTATTTTTTTGTTAATATTTTAATATAAATCCGTTCAGGCGTGGATCTAGAAATGAAAAAAAAGGGGTAGGGCTAGTCAAGCGAGTTACTGTGATAATTTGTTGCATATGTTTTTTGCTTTTCTCACATCTGATTTTTTAAATATTTTAAGTACATACGTCCGATATAGTTCTATCCAATGTCTAAGGGGGAGGAGCTTAAGCTCCCCTTGTATCCATACCTGCATTCGTTGGAATTTTTTTTAAGCATATTTAATTTTTTATAACAAAAGTATTCACATACTTAATGGAGAAAGAGCCATATTTATGTTATTATTTTAAAATTTAAGAAGCTATATGAATTAACAATATTTTATTTAATTGGCATACTAATAAATTAAACTGAATATAATAAATATATGAAATTAATTCTCAAAAAAATATGTGTCACGTATATTCGACACTGAAAGGTGGTAACCTTGAAGTATATTTTATATATATATATATAGTAAAATAATAATTGATCTCCCATAATTCAGCAAACTCGGTTTTATTACATAGGATACAGACATTAAACTTGATAAGGAAGAGAGTTGAGGAAATATTTTTAGTCATACCGGTATTTTATAGGTTGTTTGAATTATTGTTTTACCTACTTATTATCTTACTGATATTATGTTTTAAAAAATTAAAAATATAGAAGTTTTGATATATTGTATAGAAATTATCAGTGATATAATTATAACCATATAACAATAATAACACATAACCACAACAGTTTCTTCTAAAGTAGTATATCATATTAGGTATATATGCTACACAACTAATATTTAATAATATATTAATTTACATATGCATGTAAACAGATACAAAAATATGAATTATGAATTATGGATATAGATAACTAAATTATATTACATCCATGTAGGTTATATTAATATTGATTTTGTATAACATAATGTAATTTAAGTCTAAATCAAAAATATATAATTGGAAACGTATATCAAGCCTACATCAATAAAGTTTGAAATTAATAAAAATGTGAAGTCGAAGAAATAATTGTCCTCGCTTAGCTCAAAACATTTTTTTTCACTTCTTCTGACTTACATATTTATTTATCAATATGTATAGGGGTGAAAAATTATTTTGCCCCCATATATTAATCTTTAATACGCCCCTAACTTATACCATTGATACTAAATAGATTAATAATATACTGAGAAATATAAATATGAAGTTCAAATTTCGTACTCAGGTTAGTTAACTATATCGTACTTTTAAGTTAATTTTGATTAAAATTTAAAATAAATATTTTACTAACATGCACATTTTTCTCGAGAACATTTTTTATATCTTCAGGTTGGACAGCTGACGTTTTATTTGTAACATCTTTTATCTTTGATTGCCTTTCAGAAATCATATTCATGAACTATGTGAAATATAAGTCAATTTTACTATAGATAATGAAAGATTAAAACTTAATTTAATATTACTTTCGGGTTTCTTTGTAGATTTTCAGTTACATTTTGTATTTCTTTATTGATATATTTTTTAATATTTTGCATTAACATTGAATATTTATCATCATAATTGCAATTTTTTAGTTCATCGATTAATTTATCAATATTTTTATCATTTTCTGTAGAGGTTTTATTGTATGTCAAGTTTAGATCTATTACAAATTATTTTATAAGTCTCACGGAGAAAAATATAGTAAGTTGGAAAAAATATTCAAACCTCCGAAACATTTCGTCCAGAAAAATTGGAAAACAAAAATCAGTTTATTCATAATATACCACATTACTTTTGTTGAATGCATAAATTACTTACAGATAAAAATGACAAAGTAAAAATAGAAAATCATAAAAATAATTTTTATTAAACAACTAATTTGCTGGGTAACCGATCAGATTTATTTTATTATTCAAAAAATCCTATTCTAAATGATTATTTTTATTTTACATGCAATACAATTTAATTCGACCAACTTAAATAATAATACGTCACATAATAAAAAAAAAGCATTATACAACTTTTAATATTAACATTTTATGTCAGAATTACATAGTTAAGGTGTATATTAAAAATTACATATTTATAATACATTTTACTCATTTTACATTATTTTTCAAACTATACATAATTTTAAAGAAGTTTTTAGTAATAATGAAATTATAGGAAAGTAAAAAGTGAGGATCCAATGATACTTACTAATTTTTCATAAATAAATGCAACTATAACTAATGTCCACACGAATAATGAGAGACTTGTAATTTCTTGAACATAATTACATTATAAACCTTTTTAGGATTATTGAAATTAAAAAAAAATTTTTTTTCTAATTTTACATACTTGGAATATCTAAAAGTAAATTAACGTATCACTTACAAGAAAATAAAAACGTCATTATTGTATGGTATAAATGAGGTTTAACATTTAAAAACTCATGCATTTCGTCGGGGTAAAACTAAAATAGTGAATTTATAATCCAATTAGTACTTTTTAATAATAATTAATAGAAAATGTAATTGTCATTACAAAAATTACCTGCTGTTTAAATGTAATGGAACTATGTTGTAGCTCTTTAGATAACATCGCAGAGTGTTGAAAATTAACATTATTGTCAAACATTCCATGAATAATCATAAATTTCTTTTTACGTAATCCCTCAGAATTATATATCAAGCTGGCATTTTTATAACCTTCGACATTTTTTGTATACGTGTCCATAAACCGTTCGGTGTATATAGAGTCTAAATAATATACTTTTTATTAAACAAACATTTACAATTATTCATGAATTTCTAAAAAATAAATAATCTATACAAAACCATAATACATCCAGTCGGTTATAGGTGCGACGGACAATCCACATTTAAATATTTTTTCTTTGTCTTTAGCTAAAGTCATACCGGCCACGTAACCACCATAACCCCATCCCCAAATTCCGGTTTCATTTTTGTTTATATAAGATAAATGGCTCAGTAGATATCTGTTTAATATTTTTCATTTATTAATAATAATTAATAACAATTACAATTTTTTTTTCGATTAATTAATTTTAACAAAACTTTCGGGTGAAACCGTATTGTTGTTTATATATTTATCGTAATATCTTAACGACATATTGTCTTACACAGTATACATAAATTTACTGTCTACACTAATAAAAAAATATTAGCTATAGTTTTTTTCTTACGAGTTTTTTTTTTTTTTTGTTACTCACTTAGCTACTGTTATTTGATCTTCGATTTCACCTGTTCCCAGTTTCTTATAATTAGCAAATAATGTCCTGTAACCTCTCCGACCTGTGCCACGGCCATCAACTTTGGCTATAACAATATTGTGATTTGCACTTAGGTACGTATTCAGGTCAATTTGAAATTCGTCTAATACTGTGTTTGATACAGGTCCGCCGTTACTACATAAATTGATAATCAAAGTTAAATTGAGTTAAACTTTCAACCCAAAAGATAATTTAAAATATTTATAAATATACAACCATCGTTCTAAAAATTATATTATAATTCTGACAAGGCTACTCCGTTTGATTCAAGTTTAAATTATAATATGATTATTAGGGTGGCCCTTATTTAATTATAGAAATATGTTTTTGCATATTTGTTAGTCTGACCCCGTGAATTTGTATATATGCATAAAATAATGAGCTAGGTACTAAAAGTTTCAAGTCGATCTATTAAGGTTGACCCGTGCCGATTTGAATTTGAAATTTAAATATATTAATTCTTTCATAATTTAATAATATGTATATTAAATTATTAAATAACATTGATATTCATACTAGTCGAGTATGTTGTAGATATTTTGTCGGGAATCGATTTTACAAATAATATATATATACTAAAAGTTAAGAAATTATTTCGTTTTAAAAGGGTAGGAGCGGCTTGTCAGGGGAGACTTTTAGACTGTATCCCCCCTTAAAAAAAAAACAGATATTTTTAAATAATAACTATTTAAAAATATTTTCTATCGTTATCATTGTTTATTATTATAAATTGAAGGCCATAAAATCTAAAACAAATAAATAGTTATTTTGATGGAACTATCGAAATACTAATTTAGTCACTTCGAATACGGTTGTCGTTTCAGTGAAACTGACACCTGACAGTTTCTATAATAACATGTAATAATTTGGCTTGTTTGACGAAGGAAGTCGGGGAGAATAAGCCACGTATTATAGACGCTATTGAACAGTGTTGTACTTAGATAAAAAAAATTATCTAAATATAGATAAGATATCTGGATTTAAAATTATCTAGATACAGATAATTACTGTAGAAATTGAATTTATCTAGATATTTATATAAGGCATCAAAGTTTTCATCCGTTTGTAGGTGAACTATTTTGGTCTTGGGTAATGATTGTATTATGTAACGAGCCATTTCAAAATATAAAATATTTCACCAATAAAATAAAATTGAAAGTCGTAGACAAAATTATAAAAAATATGAAAACGGTCCGACGATAAACATTGAATACGTTGTGGATGAGAGTGCGCTGCATACAGTACAAGTTTTTAATAAATAACGGACGATTCACGCCTAATATTTATTTTGTTGTACAATAATATTATGTAGACACATCAAAGTACGAATTCATTGAATTGGGGTCCGGTAATGACAATTATTTAGAGCACATGATTATATGAACAATGGGCATAATTTATATATAAATATTGAATTTAAGGCGGTCAAATGGTGATGGAGAACGATCAATTTCTGTGTAGGTACAGCATAATGGGTATTGAAATATTGCTATTTTTTTATCGACAATTATTTCTGTACTTTAGTATTTATAAACCATCTACCGCACAGCTGCATTAATAACCAGTTTAGACCTATGGTGCGTTATCTCTGGTTTTAATATTCTTGTAAATGCTCTTTCGGCGTTCGTAATACTACAGGTATACGTAATACGGGTATGAGACTTCCCCGTATAGGCCATACTATGAAATTATAAATAATTCTCACCTCCCATGTATATTATGTAGGTAATATATGTCTATATACATAATAAATTATCATTGTTCATAATTATTAATAAATGCTATGTAAAACTATTTTAGAACCAATTTTTGCAAGTAAATATACAAATGAAATTTCTTATATAGTTATTTATTTTATATTGAATGATACAATTGTAGATTAGTTATTACTAATGATAAGCTACAGATTTTGTGAATTATTTTGATAAATTTATTTAGATGGCTATGATTTTTATCTAGATGAAATTAGATATCAATTTTATTTTTTATCTAGATAACATATCTAGATAAATTTATCTAAAGCACAACATTGACTATTGAAACTGGGTTTACCACAATAATTTCCGTGCCACCACGCATTTAGTCTTTATTCTCTTAACGTCGTCATCTACGTTTATCTTCAAGTTCGAAGATAAAAAAGATCGCAGAATTGATTATAGTATTGAGTTTATAAAAAAATGTTAGTATTAAATTAAGTTCAATATATATTAACTAAATATTAAATCAAACATTAAGTATAATTAATTTTCCAATAAAAGGGTTTATTTTTTGTTCGTTATTGTATTTAGTTAATGTTAAGTAATTTAAATCCAAAATATTTACTACGAGCCGCTACTGTAAAAGGGTAACATCGTATCAATTTATTAGTTATGTAATCATTACTATAAGTTTAATGAATCGTCGGCGTAAATTAAAAATGCATATTATAAGTTTTGATTTAGTCATACGTTAATTCGAAACAGGAATAAGAAATGGATATATTATACATAAAAAATAATTTGAACACTATACTTTTGAATTACGTATAGTAAATTGTTTACGTTGGATCTTTAATAATTTGAATCCAGAAAGCCAGATTTAATAAATTGAGATGTATAAAAATATTAATAAGTTTTATGAATATCAAATAATCAATATTTAAAATACTTACAAGTATGCGAAATACGTATAAACAAATCATTTTAATATTACAGTCCTGCTGTATATTATGTATAAATTATGTAAATACACATAAAATCACAATAATTAATAACATAACAATTACCTGTAAATTAATAATGGATATTTTTTTTCTAGCGAAACATCAACTGTTGGTGGAATTAATAATTTTACTTTAGCTTCATAATCATCATCGAGCGGAACAGTCAAAAACATTATGCGAGGTAAGGCGACGTTTAATAAGTTAGTGTACAGGTTTTTATTTGATTTCCATGTTGTTACATGACTTCCATTCTGAAAAGATCGGTAAAATAAAAAACGAATAAGAGATTAAAATTGTATATTGAATGAAAATCGCTAAACAATTTATACAACTATTTAATTAAACGAAAATTAATTTCTTTGTAGTACTTGTTAAGTTAAATAGTAATCTTACTATGCGGACTAAATTTGTTAAATACTTTTTAGGAAATAATTTATATTAGAAATATAAGCTAATATATAATAAAATATTATTTTAGTTAGTATTGTCTTATTATAATTTTTATACCCCAACTTTTTTTTCTCGAATATTTAATAAATTATTATTTTAAATTCTGAAGAATTAAAAAAACAGATAATTATAAATAATTCAAGATTATTTAAGCATATTTTCACATCAAGGTGTCATGGTAATTATCAGGGTTAGGATTTTATAACATTTGCATATTTCTTATGAGATGCTTAAAAAATAGCAGAGTAAGCTAAAAATGTGTTTCATGATACAAAGAACTCAAATAAAAAATTTTATTTTGCTTTTTCTTGCATATTTTGTGTTTTTTAGTTTATAGTGCTTTTTTTTAATTCTTTGAGACTTTTTTGCCTTTTACCGGTGTTATATTTAAAAATTCATTTGTTGAGCTCCCTTTATTTTGATTTTAATTCAAAAATGGGTATATTTTATGAAATTGTATTTTGGTAAACGTGTTTTTTGATTTTTGTTAATTGAATTTTCAAGATTCAAAATTTTAATTTTAATTTTAAATTAAATTATAAATGTATAGATTAAGTAAATAGACCGATTACGCTAATGCAACTCTGTACAATTACAGCGATTATATAAAGGTAGGTATAATATAATACAATAATTTCGTTTTAGTTATTTGGTTCTAATTTTTGTTATCTGCTGATTTTGTTGGTTTTTTTTGTCGATTTTTATTAAATCTACTAATAGCCAGTTATCAACGAACGAGTGTAGAATTCGCTTTATACAGTCCACATTCATCTCGTGTGCTCGTATAAAATTATTAAATAATAAATTTCCTTTTTTTTTGTTGTTTTTATTGCATATTTTTAGAGCTTATTTAGTGATTTTTAAGGTATATTTATAGAGCATATCTATGCAATTTTAAGTGCTATAAAATCCTAATCCTGGTAATTATAATTAGTTGAAAGTAATGATTTAGTCAGTAATATTTAATACATACGGTTTTCATTATGTTTATGTATGGGACCCATTGCCCTTTGCAAATATGTGCGTAATAGGTATTTTTTTCACTAAGCTCTATCAAACTAAAAGTGCAGCCTGTGTTACAAGACAAACACTCTGGTTCAGTCTGTTGTTGTCCATGATCTACCAACACTCTGTATATGTGTTGTGCCTCAGGAATATTTTCTATATTGGCAAGATAATATCTGAAAAATGTCTTTAATAAATTATGAAATATATAACTTCAGCATTAATTATTTGAAGTATTTAGTAATATTTTTATATGTACGACATCCTAACATTTCTTACCACCATGTATGTATTTACCATCGTCTTTCACATTTAACACGATTTTTTTTATAAATATTGAAAACATTATTATACCAAAGAAACGTTGTAACCATAGAATCTATGATTCCCAACCTGAAGGTAAATAACCTCCAAAGGGTAAAACAAGAGTTTCCGAAGGGTAAATAAAAGACTAATTTATAGTATTATGATTGATTAAATATACATAGATAGTCCAAGTCAATGGATAATATGGAAACACGAATATTAGTAACTTAAGAATGTCAATAGGTAGCGGGTACAGTAATAAATTGTCTACTTATTATAATAAATAATTACTATTAACAAGAAGTTGACAATGAAAATATATACGGTTGATGAGTGATGAGGGGTATGCCGTGCGACCCAGAAGATCTTAATTTCTTGTTAAACCGCGATAAAAAGCACCTATTTTAAGAATATAAATTAATATTGAATATTATTATTATTATTTACTGAATATGGCTATTTATTAATACTTTATATTATTTTATATAATGAGCGAAAACGAACCATCTGCTTAGAATATCTTAAGAGGACGTCGCACACGTACGACATAATAAATTTTCTTTCACCAGTTTCAATAGTGTGCTTTTAGTTTTGAAATTAAAGTGAGTTGACCTATTATCAAACATTTGGGTAAAAAATTATCTGTATCAAAAAAATCTGGTGTGACAGATCGATTTGTATGAGAAATATATAAGATAAACAATGGTGAAATTGATATATTATAGGGTTGCCATAAGTCCCGGAAAACTGGGATTGTCACCGGTTTTGGACTTCGTGTTTTGGTGTCCCAAAAAATATTTTCGGGACGTCCATATGTCCCGGCTTAGACGTTTAAAGGAAATGTAGTATTATTTTATTTTTTATTGTGACCATTTTATCTCAAATTATATTTTTAGTTTGACAATATATAATAAAAACATAATTTGTAATTTACACGTATAAATATGTAATATATTTTATTTTACAAAAATATTTTTAAATATTATATTACCGGCCATTAATGGTCCTCTCCGGTAGCGTACCTATACATAACTTTTGTATGGGGGAAGGATCATATGCAAACAAATCATTATTTTTCTTACGTTTCTAACGCCCTCACACTAAGAACATTGTTTTATAACATTTGAAAAAAGGCCTAGGCGGACTGCTAACAGTCTTGACTGCAACATACCCCTCTTGTATACGCCACTGGTCCTTTCAATATATTAAAAGTTATATAAAAAATATATTACTCCCGGTTTCATCTTATAAATTTATGGCAACCCCATATATTATAATTTAACATACCTGATTAATTAACACAAATTTCTTTATCACAACACATATTTTGAGCTCGAAAACAATGATACTCATCAATTCATATGAGAAATTTGCAAGAAATATCATATAAGTAAAATAAAATGTTTTAGAAATAATAAGATAAAACCCAGGCTTTGATGGTATAAAAAATAATTTTATAAAAATTTTCACTGAAGTACCTTAGTGAGTACACTTAACTAGTTACCTCAACCACTTAAAAACACTCTGCTAATAACTTTTACGAATACACAAATATTTATATTAGTATTGATTAATTTCGCTTTAGAATTTCTGATGCGTATGAGGATATGAGCAAAAAATATCCATATATAGTGTATAAGCGCAATCGGATGAAAATAATAATCAAAATTTGAGATTTTTAGCACAGAATTGATAATCGAAATTAGATTTTTGATTTTAGTAATTTTAATATTTTAATTTTTACATTAATACAAAGATATGTGCAGCATTATACATCCTAAAAATTACACCTTACAAGTAATTCGATTCAAAGTCCCATTTTATTAGCTTGAGGACTTCATAATGACCATTAGTTATTGGCTGCAATTCGCCATTCGTTTTAATTATGCAAGCATGTCCATACGAGTCTCCGTCTTCTTGTTCAACGGGTTTTATCAATGCAACCCAATGTTCTCGATTAATTAAAATCGATTTGCGAAAATCGAGCCAACCATTTTCTTGATTAAATTCCATTTCCTGTACATAGTGCACGTGCATTTAATAACTTAAGGAAATGTAAAACAAATTAAAAAAATTTGAACTAACTTCTTTTACTTCGGCCGTATTATTAAAAATATGATAGTGCACGAGATGAGATTTGTTTTGTATTCTATTCATCCACAATGCAAATAAGTGTTCATCGTCTGACCATGCAACATAATATAGTACAATTTCACCGCTAAAACAAAAACCAACCATGAGTTTATTTTTACTGCATTTAGTACTTACTATGAATTATTTAGCAATGTATTGATATTATATCTATATACCTTATAGTTATGTTGTATTTTGGTAATAATATATATTATATTAAGAACTTAAGTTAAAAATTGTATAGTAAGTTTCCTTTTATAATATTACATTAGATTCTAAAAACATCTTAAAAATCATTGCTTACAACTGCTTACAACTGCCTTTATATAAAAGAGTAACTGAGCACCACAAATATTATTTTTCAAAGGAAATTGTTCAACAATAGTTTCAAACTTATTATTTATAATAATAATATATTATTCCTTGTACCATTGAAAAATTGATTTACATCACACATGTAAAATACCCATCTTAGTCCATATTTTCATATGTACAAGAAGGAAAAGTATATATTATAATTGTTGAACATATGTTTTAATGTTGAATATACTCGTATATCATAAGACAATTTTTGCTACATATCAGTTAATTTAAATAAATAAAATGCCTAACTATTTATGTTATTTAATATTATGTTTATAATAATGAATCTAGGAACATATCTAAAAATACAAATCAGTTAAGGATTCGAAATGACAGAATACTATTGAAGATATATGGATGGATTCAAAAAAGTATATATTTCCTTGACGAACCGTAAAAATACTAAGCAATGTGTAATTTATAACTTATACCATGCTAAAAAAATGTATGACATCAACGTTCAACTTATACAAAACTACAATACTAATGTATATCTTGATGTATATCTTATATATTTATATATTATATGACATATATTATGAAATAAAATATATGAAAAAAAAAAAATTAACAATAATAACAATCCAACAATACTGTAATAATCCACTCATGTCACGTATTAACGTATGTTATGTGTTAGGGCTGCCACGGATTCCAAGAGAGACACGGACCACAGGTTAAGAACCGCTGTATTCATATTCAAGAATTTTTCCAAATAAGTAATTAAAAACCAATTCACGTTAAAATATTGGGCACTAATAATGTATCACTCAACAGCTCTCTTTTATGGGTTCTAGTGTTGTTGTGGATTAGATATCTCAAAATTATTCCTACAACTATCGATGAAAAATATTGTTGTGATAACAACTATTAGTGTGTAAATATAAGATTATTAATATAAAATGTTAACATATAACCTACTAATAACTGGTATTAATAATCAACATTTTCATAAAAATGTCGTCGAAGAGATAAATTATATCAAAAGTGTATTTATTAAGCTATGGGCTTTGCAAGTCATGTATTATTTTTCAGAACCTTTTTTTATGTATTACTTAATATTTTTCAATAATTTAAATTTCAATATATATATCTTTAGAATAAGTTGAAAAATAAAATAATTTTAATATAGTATGATCTTTTATATACAATAAATGATTATTTTACACCATACAATGAATATTTAATTTAAGATTGTCCAAGAAAAAGTCATAAACACAGCACTGAATTATATTTACTGAGGTCATAGAAGATTGATTTGTTATCTAATACTATATTTTAGTTAATAAAGATATATGACTCACATTCACTGAAGATGAATAATGTCAAACATTATGTGTATGGAGATTAATTAACTATAATATATCATGTGATTTACTTGATATGTTATACTTACGAATCATATTTAATTGTTGGTCTTATTGCTATAGGCGTGGGCTCAGTATTGATATTAATGTATTGTACAAATAGTTCCACCATTGGATTAGGATCATTCGCCTGTAATATAACATAAAAATATCTTGCATGAAGAACTTAAGTATTAACAAATTGAATTTCGGTGCCATACCTTTGGATAATGATAGCTATGTATCCTGCTATATTGATCATACATAGTATCTGGTATTCCGTATCGTGCTAGATGTATCGATGGTACCAATGTTTCATTAAGTTTGATGTAAGCCAATTTAGTTCCTTGTTTAGAAAACCACATTGCTAAATTTGAATTTAATATTTCTTCTAAAAATATAAAGTATTAGATTTCAACGTAGAATATAAACTTTTCACCATTTTTAATAAAATTTTTTACTTTATATTTTAACTTAAGATTCTATAACACTTATATTTTAACAATTAATAATTCTTAATAATGTTAAAACTCTGCAGAAAGAAAGCAAAATAAATTTTAAAATAAATCATATTTCTTATTAAAAACATGATTTTCTAATTAAGCTAATTAAGGTAAATGTATTTAATGTAAACTAATTGTAATTTAAATTAATATAAACTGCATTATAATTTATCATTTAACTACGGAATATTTTATTAGACAAATTAAATGATTTTAGTATATATAATATATATTTCAGATTTTGTATAGTGAAAAAGCAACAGGATTTATTTTTATATTTAGCATTTACAATAATTGTAAATTCTAAATATAAGAATAAATTAATTATTGATTAATAAATGCCGTATAAACATAATAATTAATAAAAAACGAGCACTATATAACATAAACATATGAGACAAGGATCGAATTCAATAAACGGCCCAAATCATCATTGTCTTTTGTTTTATTTTTAAGTAAGTACCTAAATAATCATTATTTATTAGCTCAATAACACGTTCTCAGTTATGAGTTAGTTTTCATCACGTATTTCGTAATAATTTATCAAACAATACTTTTTCCAAATTTTTTTTCTCATTATATGTGAGTCTGCACTTCAGAAATGATGAAACCATGTTTATTATAAAAATTCTTTATTTAACAATAAGACTGTTTTTATCAAGATACTCGACCACAATAGAATATAAGAATAAATTTGGTTATAAAAAATTAAAACCGGTATGGAAATGTATTTAAAATAATACCTAAATATGTTTTAGAAAAACCATATGAAACTCGAATATTAATGAAGTCACTATATTTTAGTAATAATTTATTACTTTTAATATGGTATTAAAAAATAAAATACTAAACAATTGATAATTGATTATATTATAGTATATTTTATTAAATCAATCTGCGTGTATAATCATGTTCATTTGATAACATTATAGTTTTATATTATTATGAAATTATACAGTCGAAAAATTTAAAGGTTTAGAAATAAAATTCAGTAATATAAATGTGTATTTTAAGTATTTGACTTTGCCTCATCGACTCGGATGTTAAGTACTGTGTGTGTGTGTCTCATATGTCACCCCAGATATCAGATTGGAGTTGAACCCAATACAGTCGTGAAATGTTTCAAATATTATAAAATAACATATCAGATTTGCTGTAATGGGCGAAAATAGGCAAAATTAAAAAATAAAAAAAATACATATCAAATAGACCTTTATTAGATCATTAGATTATTTCAAAGCTCGTATTTTATCGTTCAATGAACATTTTTCATGTGTTAAATATCATTAAATAGCATTTAAAGAAAAAATTAATTATAATATAATTGGTTAGGTAGAAAAAGTAACGTGATAATTTTTTTTTTTTATTATTATTTCATGAGATTTGTATTTTTTTGTCAGTGCGTAAACTGTGAATGTTTTATATTGAAACTTAAACAGATAAAATTAAATACTGCTTGCCTTTGTACACCCAATCAGGAATACCGTAGTATAAATCTTCTCGCCCGCCGAAAGTTATTTGTTTTGCGTGGTTTGGCTTTGCGGCATTGAGTATCAAATATATATTGTAGTTATCGACAATGGCCAGAGTTGAACCTGTAGCAGACCATTTAGCAGCCATTACACTTCTTGGTTTGTGTTTCGTATCTCTCAATGTTACTTGTTTCCTGACATATTAAAACACAAATATTTAACCGTTGACATTACACGTCATGTAACGTTTTGTTAAATTTATTATTATATAAGTTATCATAACTTTTGATATATAATTTATACACCATACGATGTATTGTTGAATTTTAGCATTAATATGAATTTAGTTATTTTTAAAAATATGTTTATTAGTTTAAATCAAAACAGTAACATTAATATAAAAATATTCTTATTTAAAATTAAACATCGGTAAATTAATTTTTCCACAAATTGTACTATATACTTCTTAATAAAAAACGTACATTCAAAACAAATAATACTACATAGTAAAAATATACTATAGGTATAGTTTAGTAATTTTAAGATTACTAGAAGTCTGGTAGTTTCCAATGTAATATAACATATATTTAAAATATAGTCATTATTTAAGTCAGAGGATCTCAAATGATAAAATTAGTTTTCTAAAGTCAATAAAATAAAAGTTAATCCATTATACGAGTACACTTATTAAGTTATCCAGAATTATAACTTACTTAGTTTTAATAGTGATGATGTCATAATAACTCGTTGACATATAATTATATGTCTTCAATGTATAAAAACAAAAAAAAACACATCAACATTTTAACTATGGTAATTTAACATGTAATTATAACTAGTAATAAAAATATGATATGCTATTCTAGTTAGAGGCGGAACTAGGAGTGTAAGACGGGAATTCCTCCCTGGACGTAAAATTTTAGAGGATGTAATTTTTGTAATTATTAACAACTAATTGGATATTCTTAACTTAGTTAAATACTGATATTAAGTTAAAACTCAATAAATATGATTGTATATTAATTATTAAAAAAAAAAACTCGAGAAGAGTATTTGATTATTGGTCTATGATAGTGCGTAGCTTTAACATTTTCTCCGGGCGTCAAATTCCTAGTTTCGCCTCTAATTCTAGTGGCACTGGAATAATCCCCTTCCTCAAACATATGTTGTATCATATAAATATACGTCAATAGGAAATACATATAATGTTTTTATTTGTATGTAACAATGAAACTTACTTCATCGGTGTCATAAGATATTAACAGATATTTTTTGTCGGCTGAAAGTTCATATGTATGACAATTCTTTACATGCTAAAAATGTCCAATTTTAATACATATAGTACTTATGTTTTCCATTATTATTTTTACATATTTACTTTCATTGAATTGAACGCTATAACTGAATTGGTAAATTGAATTACATCATGCAATATAATATTTCCATCATCGTCCTGTGTCAAAATTTCATTATCTAGTGCATATTACAATAATATTTAATTATCCAAATTTGTAAAAGTATTCAATAATAGTGACAAAATTTAAATTAAATTAAAAATCAATTATATGAAAGATATTAAATCACACAACCAATATCAATTCGAAGATAGTAAAATTAATGAACCCTCGAGAATAATCTACCTATCATTCTAGTGTTTATTAATGGCTATACTATTGATTTTTTGTTTGAAAAATTATTTATAGAAAAATAAGCAATCTAAAAAAATATAGGAAATTATGACGTAAGAATATAAGTTAAAAAAAAATAAATATCATTCCACACAAAAGATAGATATCAAGCGTCTTAAGATATTTTTGTTAGCTTTATCAGTTTATAAAAGTAACTTATGATTGTATAGTTAGTCAACGAAAAATTTTAAGAAAAATAATTTTAATTTCATTTAAAAAACAATTTTTCGTCAATTCGAATTTAACAAATATGTATAACATATTATATACGTCTAATTGTATGATATATATTCTAAAATACACCTATAGATATTAAGATACATATGTTATAATCATATGTGTACTACTTAAAACATTATGCTTTTATCTTATTACTTATTTTATTTGTACATACCTGAAATCCAAGTCGCATTAAAACTAATTGGCTTATCGTCCAACAATGTTTTAAATTTAATAGGTTTATATATTTTAATATTCTGTTCAAAATATTGTGGCCAATCAATAGTAAAGTAAAATATAAAACTCATCATTGAAAAAATAAAACAAATTAATACACATATCACAACAAATCCATTTTTAATTTTCCATAAAATGTGTTCCTACAAATTTATTCAATATTTTGATAAAATACATGTGAGAAATTATAACTAAACGTTATCTTAGTAAATTTACATTAGGCAAATAAATCAGATAAAAATAACCATTATTACGATTTAACTTAATTTCAAATTTTGAATTAAACTTTATTGTATGTTATGTATTATTCTTGTATTTGTGAGAACGGAAAATATTAATACATAGAATTTGGTAAAATACAAATTTTAGAATAATATACAATACAGCAAATTATTAATTTGCATTAGAAAAATTTGAATGATAAGGATAAAACAATTATGAACCTCCAAAAAAAATGTCTAAAATGTATGAGTTATTAAATAGATATCAAATTTTTTATAATTAAATAATGCTTTTAATAAATAAAGTTCAGTAATGGTAAAATAATATGCATATATTATTATCTTTTAAATCCATATAATTCTGTCCGAATTTATTAATAATTATGTCTTTTTTTTTTTTTTTATAAATATTAATCCTATATTTCTAAACATTTATAAATGTATATTGGAATTCGATATATCTACATTTATAAATGTTCGTTGTACTTAATAATTTATTATACAGTTATTAAACTGCTGATTGTTTTCATTTTTTAATCTATAAAATTTATAACTGAACAAATATTTTATTAATTGGTTTATTCTTTTAGTATTTTATGGATTAAATAAAAACAAAATTGAATCAATAAAGTTAAATAACAATATAATAAACAATATATTAAAAAATATTTTGTAAATTTTATAGAAAAATATAATCAAGTATTGGTTTACTTACCATTTTAAAGTACCAATTCGTACTTTAACCACTTGTGATAAAAATATTTTTAAAAAAATTTTGATCAGAATTTTGTTTTTTGTGATAGTGCAAGTTTACGTATACGTGCACTAAACATGTGTATACATTAATAAGTTAGGCATACTGCCTAGCAAAACAACAGCGAAACGAATATGTGCGTTTCACAGTGTGAATAATTTGGTGTTTAAACAGATGTTCTAGTATTACGCAATTATATTCACATTCAAAATATTGAATTTGAATTGTTCTTTGACACACTTATATTTTAGAATTCATAGACAATATACAATAGTAGATAAGTACCTGATTAATACATAATTCAAATAGGGCAAAACTTCTGTGTCGAAAGATACTCCACAGTCGGGTGAGATATAATGATGGATGAATGGTATAGCAGTATTGGTCTTTTAATCTAGAAACTAATGTATTATTGGTCTTGAAAAAACGACACTGAATGTAAGAGGTTAGATAGATCAGCTCAGATTACAAAAGATTGTTGGTATAAAAGAAAAACAAAATGTCTTAATAAAGTAGGTTGAAGTTCAAATATTCTAACATTCACCAAAAAAAAAAAGCCATTTAAAATATTCCGAATCTATTAAATGTTTAAATAACTAATCTCCTACTATGGTTTAATTAAAACTAAAATATCCGATTTCATCAACATTTAATTTAGTAACTTTTTTAAAACATTTATACGACTTTCCAGGATTTTCTTTTCCTTGGCTACAAAGAATAACTATAAAAAATGTTGCATCCATAATTTATTTTTAATAAATGTGTTAAAGAAAAATATTAAAACTGCAAATTCTCTTATCTGTATGATGTGGTTACGTAAGCATATGAATTATTAAAAGAAAAAAAATGTAAAGAGAAATCAATAAGCCCGGGGGTGGATCAAGAAATCATTAAAGACTGGGGTAGTTAAAATTATTAGCATCCAGTTCTACCAATAATTTTCTCCAGTAGCTTATAATATTATTATAAGCTCTTACATTCTTAGATTTACCACTGAATATACTTTGGTATACTAAAAAGTATTCAATAATAAATGCATAAAAACATATATTTCTGGTTAGGTTTGGGTTAGTATTACGGTTCAAAATACATTTATTGCAGATTATATTTATATTATAATAAATTTTCCAAAGTTAAATAAGCTATAAACTAATACTAGTTTATAATTTTTGTAATAGGTTTTTTATGTTATATTAAAAATATTAGATCTCTAGAAATAATTTCTAAATAATTATTATATAATTTCATTTTCTATCCAACTATCGCATTTTTAATATCTTGATTTGTAATGATATAAAATAAAGTTATTGAATAAAACAAACGATTACATCAAGCTTTTTAAAGTATGGCTAGATAATTTATAGCATTCATTAAATATTAAATATCAATTTCAAACGTTTTTTTTTATTTTATACTACTAAAATAAGTATGATATGTAATTGTATTCTATGCTACAAATTAATATTGGATATTTGATTTATTCTCCGTTTGTAGTTTCAACGCTGCTTTCTTGAATTTTAAGTTCTTCTTTTGGTGTAATTTCCAATTTCTTTTCATTTTTCTTTAAAGTTTTATGATTCGTTGATATTGAAGGATATGAAGACAGTGAAGATTCTATCACACCTAAAGTGTATAAATTAATATTATAAGATGCTTTAAATGATATATAAAAAACCACACAGAGCTTAATATTGCTTAAATCATAAAATTATACTATCATATGTTTGTTTTAAAAATATATTTTGTTTGAAATAATTATAATTTTAATTTGTTATTTTCCTTTTTCAGATATAATTTTATTAATTATGTGAATGTTTCTATCTTTGTTATGTTAATATATATTACATTTTACTATCATTAGTCGAATATTGGCAATCTTATGATGTAATGAAACTTAGGAAGGCATAATTTAAATGTATTTATTTTATTACTACAGTGAAACTTCTGAATCTCAAAGTCGCAAAGGACAAAAAAAAATTCTATATATCAAAACTTAGAAGTTACTGAGAGAATTTAAAACATAAATAAAATTTGAAATAAAAACATTTAATTATTGGGAAAAATATGTATTTATAATATAAAATTTATTTATATATTCTATACATATTATTAGTATTCGTCATTTGAGTAAATATACATTTTCTATGAAAGTCTAAAATCTATTATTTTTTTTTTTTTTTTTTAGTATTATCAATAAAACTACAATTAAAATTATTTCCACTATTAAATTTAGAAAAAATATTGTCAGAAACTGCTGACTGTTGTTTAACGTATCTTCTAAACTTATGAATATAAGTCCTTGTAGCTTTAACGCTGTTATCGGTCACTAGCTGAACTGTAATTAAATATCAACGTAATTACAACGTTTTGTGTACAAGCTCTATCATTTACTTATATTTTATAGTCTGAGCATCTTATAATTTATCTTATCTGTCATATATTCAAGTCAGTGAATCGTAATAGGGCGATGGATATCGAATAATAACTTCGACTTGTAGAAAAATTCAACATATGGAAATTCGACATACAAAAACTGAGATACCGGAGTTGGAGATAGTGAAGTTCCACTGTATTAACATTAAATAAATATAATCTATAAAATCAATTTATCGTCGATTTGAATAAACTTATATAATTGTTTTATTATTTCATGTTTAAACCTTAAGTTGATACCAATCTTTTGTTTTTTCTCCTAAGTTGTTTGGAACCCTTGACTACGTTTAACGCTCATAAAATATAAAATCTATATCTGTAATAATTTAAAATTGTTTTAAACCGGCATTTTACGTTATCATAAAATAGTTTTTTTTTTTTTTAATAAGAAACACTTTTAAAATTTGTTTAATTTTAATATTATATTCTCAATAATTTGATGTTAGATGTTGTTTGATCTAGTTAATTTTATGTTTGTTAGTTATTTGTAAATTGTAAAAATTACAGCAATGCAATTAGATTAGTTGTACATAGAATTTAAGTAATTAACAATATTTTTTAAAAATAAGATAAAATAAAAAATAAAAAATAAAATAAAAAAATATTTATGTATACAATTAAATAAGGTAGCCCGAGGAATTTATGAAATTAATAATGATTAATGATAAGAATGGAGCAGGAGTCGAAGAGAGGGTTTAAATCAGGGATTATAGGCAAAGAAAGATAAGAATAAAAAAACAAGTTGTCTTCTAGGAAGCAGGGAAGAACAGTTGAATATAATGTAATTAAAATCGCATACTGATTCTTTATGATTACTGGTACAGAATGGAGAAGAATTAAGGAAAAGCTTGAAATAATGGTGGGGGATGAGACTGTGTCCAATACGGAGATGGGTGAATATGTTATGAATTGTTAATTTGTTAAATATTTCTTTTAAAAAAAAAGAATAATAAAAAATAGTTAATTTAAAATTAAAATTTCTTAAATATCCAATGTTATTAAAGTTAATAACTAGATATTAAAATATTAATTATATCATGTTACCTATATGGATTTTTGACGTTATATTACTAAAAAACATATACATAAGATAGACTCCCGCAGTAATGGTTGAATAGAGTGAATTAAAGTTATTAGAGTTGTTTAATAATTAATAAGATTCAAAACTGAAGAATGCAAAATACAGATATTGATAAAAAAAAGCGTAATACGAAAACTTCTAATAGAATTAAAAACTTTTGAAACAAAGAAAGCATCTACTAAACTAAAGGTATTCAAGTGCCTTCAAGTTAAAATAATAAATCGTTAAAAATTCACCGTTGATTGAGTAAGGTATCTTAAATATCTTCTTTGAAGTTATTACGCTCCTGTACTTGGGTGTTGTAAAAGTGTACAATAATGGGTTTACAAATGCATTGATGGGCACAACAAATATTATTAACCACACGTATATTTTACCTAAAAATCAACATAAGAATTATAACTGATAATAATTACATTTATACTGGTTGGTATAAAAAACAAATTTGTACTTGAGATATGGAATTTTTTTAATGCAGCAAACTTCAAAATTATAATTGGTAACCAACAAATGCAATTTGCCAAGACGATGAAAAAAAAACGAACTGCAAAATCAAAATCACCAGTAGATATGCGAGCAGCTTGTCTTGTTTTTCTTACATTTATGAACATTAATGCATATAAAACGGTCAAAAGCAATAAACTACAATTATAATGAAAAAAAAAAAATTCAGTTATACTGTTCACGAACCTGAATAATATATTAATTTCAATACCTTGTAGTATGTAAACCTAAAAACATAAATGCTGAATATTGCCATCCAATAACAAATGGATCTTCAATATATAAAGGATAACAGAGTCCGTTAGATCCATAAAATTTTGATGAATGTTTCCATAAAATTACTACAGCAAATAATTAACAATTAAATAATATATTCATATACATCTTAAAAGTAAAAAATGGTAACAAAGAAGTCTAAAAAAGATCAGTACATAAAAAAAAATTAAAAATAAATATGATTGATTATAAATGTTAATGATGTATTTATATATAATTGTATAGATAAATACAAATAATAATAATTAAAAAACTTAAAAACTAGCATATTTTCACAGTTATAAATGTATCGGTTTGATACCTTGGTTTAAGTTAAATTTGTTACATAACCTATACATAGTAAAAACTACAATTTTTAGTATGATTAATTGAATTGAAATATGAAAAAATTAAATTTTTTTCTCTAACTTTTATTTTTATTTTTACTTTATCTATAGGTTTTATTTCATAAAAGAATTTCAAATGTTTATTTTAAGATGTACACTTTATACTTAATAAAAGTTTAGTATTAAGTAATGTAATTTTTCTCCCAGCTGAAGTGTGTTACATTTTTTTACTTTTATTTATAATTTTTGTAAAGTATGCATATCTTGATATAATACACGAGTAATTTCAGTATGTAATTAATAAATAATATAAAAATACTTATAACTCGCATAAAACTTACGTGGTGCTATTGATATACATATTCCAACAAACCAAATCGATACCATAATGTAAATTGCTGTTTTTAATTTCAAAACTTGATACCCAGAAAGTGGCACGGCAATTAATAAAAACCTTTCCAAACTTAGAAACACTAATATAAGCATAGAAACCTAGAAGAAATAACAATATAACTAGTATTTTTATTATTTTATTGCACAACGGATATTGAAATTAACATTTATAAATTAGTACCTAATTTACTTACGTATAATAACATGCATTTTTATATTTTTATTATTGATTAAATCATCAAATTACATTTTTTTTTAATATTAATAAACTTCTTATTTTTTATTTACTTTTTACTTAAAATACTTTTATAATTGATGCATAAATTATGTACAGTATAAAAAACAAACTTAAAATTTCAATCACCATAGTTAAAATACATGAGTATCGTATGATTTTATAGTTATAAAAATTATTTTATTACTTACAAATTGAAAAAAAAAATTATTTACATACAAAGATACAAACTAGGTACTAAAAAAGGCTGTGGTACAAACAATATGTTGGTATAAATATGAGTATATCTGAAACAGTAGCGTGGTGATGATATTATTTTGGAGCAATTGCTCCTTAAAAATGTTTGGTAGGTGGGTCGTCCCCAGCCAAAAAATACTTAACAATAAGTACAACAATAATATGGATACACCATAACATCATGTTAAATGTTTTAAGTGATAGTAAATATTTGGCGCACAAATGTACTGCAAATGATCCGTTACACTAGAAACAATTGGTGCTAAGTAAGCTCTTCAAGAAAAATTAGTTCAACACGCCACCCACTGAGCTGAAGTACCTATACCAAGAACCAGAGGCTACTATAACAATAAATAATTATCTGTAAGTATATTTTCAACCGCTACAATATTATTATCGTACTTTAATAGAAACTAATCCCGAGTTTCAAAAAAATAATATTTAGTGAATGATTTACGGTAAGAAAACTATGAGAAATGGTACCAAACTATTTTCATAAAAATAAATAGGCATTTAAAATAAAACAAAATAATTTTTGAAAAAATGCTGTACATACTTCTGACGAAATTACTGCAATCATGCCAATTGCTGTGCATAAATAGGATGACTCCCATTCCTGTGCATAACGATAATATTTACTACGGTATATTATATCGTGATAACCAATAACCGTTAAATATATCACCATAAACAGATCTGCAACTAAGACTTACAAGTTTACTTAAAACTTATACGATATGGTATGTGAGCCACATTAAGAATTGTAAATTATTACCAGCCAAATTTCGTATGACAAAGTTAATCGCTTTGTTTTCGTCTCCAAAATTACTAAACATCCGGCCATATAGTACCAGTGCATTCATAATCAATGTAAAAACTGTTATCATCCATAAAAACCATCGAAAAATTGAATTCGGAAGAAGATTTAAACTTGAAGACAGACCTAAGTTTACAATATCATTTGGTTTTGTAATATGATTGTGTGCGTATGCAAATGTGTCAGTATTTTAATTGTAATTTACTTACTATCCGTATTCGGTAAACAAACTTCAACACGTTTAACATACAAAACACAATAATGAAATTCTTTTAAGTAACTGAAATAAAATATGTCGAACAGTTTTATATTTGAATGTAAAAAACAAAATAACATTATTTTAATAGAACTTACAGGAATTGAAGGTTATCCAGATTATTAAATAATGACATATCAATGTTATCTTTATTAATACCATTCATATCTCTGTAAAACATTTTTAGGATTAAATTTTAATAAGAAATTATGGCCCGAGATCTAGACTACAAAAAAATATTCGATTACATTATTATAGAGACATAATTTTATCACATGTAGAACACAAGTAGATACTTTACACTTTTTGAAATCGATAGGTCTTAACGTATCACAAGGCCACTAGAAAGTTCACTTTTGATCCAGGTATCATTTATATCATAAGACATAACATAAGTTATACTTATTTAATATATTTTTAATAAATATTGTAAAATAAGTTGTTATTAATAAAAATTAATGTATAATACTTACAAAGAGTAAAGGTTTTTTATTCCAGTGAAAACATCACCGTTTATTTGTGTTAATGGATTATTTCCTATTGCTCTAAAAATTATTAAATTATTAAACTTAAATTAGTTAATCTATAAATTGTGAATAATATTACAATTTGTTCAATAATTGTAATGGATGAAATAGTTCTGGTGCGATTGTTGTAATTTTATTGTTGATTATATTTCTGTAAAAATAAGATATTATATTACACAATTCTTTAATTTTTATGTCATTTTTTTTATTACAGTTCAACAAGTTTTTTTAAATTTTTAAATGCACTTTTGTGAATTACTGTAATTGCATTGTTACCTAAATCCCTGAAAAAAATAAACTCAATTGGGTAATGAATAGTATATATAGTTATATTGAAGTTAAGATGTTTAACCAAATTAAATCATATTAAAAATCTTACAAATCTCGTATGTTTGGTAATCCATAAAATAGAAACTCATTTATTGTTTCAATGCAATTCCAATTAAGATGCCTTTTTCAAACAACATAACATATTTAGATAATATATATTATATTAAACACATTAATGATGAAATAATATAAAAATCTACTATCATTATAAGAAATACTTACAGAAGTGTTAGATTTATTAAAATAGGAAAATTTTCATTCTTAAAAGTCAACAAATTATGTGATAAATCTCTAAAATAATTTTACGAAAAAAAAAATTAAATAAACAATCAATTTTATTACATTTTAAAATAGTAAATATATTTTGTATCTTACAGCCACGTTAATTTAGTCATATGCTTCCAAGAGTTTAAATTCAGAAACTCTAAGTAATTGTAATCCAAAAATAAAGTCACAACATTATTTAATCCGTAAAGAGCGTCTTCTTCCAATACTTTCAAGTTATTATTTAACAAATGGCTAAAATTTAATAAGCTTAGTTATAATGTAATTAATATTTATTATTATTTTTTGATAAAGATATTCATTACAATACTCGTATTCATTTTTTTTCACTTATATCTTAAAATTATATACAAAATTATTTGAAAATTACTTACAGCCAAATTAGATTATTTTGATGTTTGAAAACAAACGGAGGTACTTTTGACAATTGATTATATTGCAAGTGTCTATATAGAGAAATGTTTTTCAAAGTATCATACATTTTTCATTTTAATCTTTATAGTACTACTCACATAACTCTTAACAAATGATATCCTTCGAACGAATCATTTGAAAGCACTACAGAGTTGTTTATCATCAATCTAAAATGATTTCAATTAAAATTGTTCTTTAATCATTTTTTTGACAACCAATTCAAAATACAGGTATATGAAATATAATAGGTATAAGTTGATTCTATTATACTTACATCTTTTTTACGTTCGATGAAACATTTTTTGGTACTTTTGTCAGTCCAACATTATTGCAACGTAACGATGTTCCATTTCTACAATCACACTTGACCGGATATCCATTTAAAGCTAACGAGTGAAAGAGTTTTATAAAAGTTCACAATATTTTTAAATAAAACAAGAACCGTTTACAAAAATATAATTAAAATGTCTTAACACATAGATAACGAAAGATGAACATCTTTTGGGTCTGATGATAATATTTGAAACAAATTAACGTAAGTACATACGTCAATAAAAATAAATATAGTCAAACGTCTATTAATAAACACCTCTAAAAAGGCTAGTTTTTAGATTTCTCATTAATACTCGTATATTGCAGTATAGACCACTTAATTGAAGACATTGATATCACAACTTTTTTTTAATCTTATGATTTATCACTCATTAATGAAAACAATTAAAATTAGTAAATTAAGATGAACATTACTTAGTTATTTGTACACTAAATAAAAAAATCTGAAAAAATTAGTTTCACATATAATACTACAAAAAAACTCATAAAAAAGTAATAAAAATTAACTACAGTAAAATATATAGGTTAATATTTAAAAAATATTATATTATAAAAATAATGAAACAGAATTGGTTAAAATTCACATAGTTACTAATCTTTTTAATTATTTATAAATTTGTTTATCTAAACAATCAAAGGTTTTTAACTCCAAGTTACTATGCAGAGAATTTGCTGTAATATTGTAGTATTGTTCATCTTGTAGTAAAACATATACGAGTATATTTGATAAAAAAACATTTTAAATATTATATGTATAACCAAAGCCAAAACTATTTGATATAAAACATTCGAACTATCGTGAATATAATCAAAATGAACTTCAAGTTAACGTGAAATAAATTTAATTAAATTTTTGGTCAATTTCTAATTATCTTCATTTTTTTTATGTCTATATATATAAAAATTAATGTTTGTGTATAAGTCTTATATGCCTTTCTAAGCCGTTTATCCGATTGCAATGAAAATTTGGGATTCTTCAAACATTATTATAATTCGGTTGGACATATGTCCGCGAAGATTTCTGAATCAGTAAAACCATCTTAAGATGACAATCACTACAAGTATATAGACTGAATTTGAAAAATCCATATTTCTCACATAGACAGTTGTATATGGCCTGCTCATGCGTTGGAAAACCTTCTGATTTATTTGTATATGCACCAGAAGGAAAAACAAAAAAATATTGTTTCTCCAAATGCGCTTCAATAAATAGCATTCAATCAAAAACTTAAATTATCAGAATTTTATCGATAAAATTAATAAAAATACATAATAATCCAAAATAAATTGATTATTGTTGTAACAATATAAGTATTTTTTTGAATTTAGTAAACGAAATAGCAAACCGTGACGGGTATACTATATTTAATATTTACCTATTACAATACATAAAAAGTTATTTTAATATTTTCACCATTATTTCGGGTAATTTACACTTAAAAAAGCATTGCTTCTACATCAAGAAACACCCAAAAGGAGTTGAACACCCACAATTTTCTCACCCAACAATGTCGGGTGATTCAATTAATTACTAACAATTTTAAACCCAAGTAAATTTATTGTTTGTGTGATGTCATTATTTTATTTTAGAATTCATACGCTTGCTGCATTTAGTATTTAATAATAAAGATTTTTTTGACAATGTAACCGAAAGAAATAAAAATCCTTTATTAATTACATGACCCTACACTTTTATTTTATGCTTAAATAACTATTTTAATAATTCTGACAGGAACACGTGTTCCTTTAATAACTCTATGTCTAAAAACCAGATCCGTACTTCTCATTTAACTAGCTTAATCACGATGGCGAAAAATGTGTTAAACTTTGGGTTTAGCGAAGCATTTTGCTTGTCGGGTAGTAAATGACGCAAGTAAAGGTGCGTTCACTATAACTATAAATACTTTATTCACGCATACAACCGAACGAACATGTCTCGACATGTAGATATTAGCTCTCCTCGGATGACACTAATTCATATAAAAATATCTCAAATTTTTCTATATATAAAAAATCTTTAATACTACTAACGCGTATTAATAGTAATTTTTGTAAGTCAATCTCGTGTTCCTCAACTGTACGTGCCAACATACATGTATTGCAGCTAAATTCTCTATTGTTCATAAGAAACAGTTTTAATGTTTTGTATTATATCCGTATTTTCACCTTTGTTTAATAACGATAAGAATTTTATTATTCTCAACACGAATATTTCCTATGTAGTATATTGTATAAACTACTCAGACTAAACCCTTGTTAGTTGGGTCAACATGTAGTCAACATAGTTAACATAGTGATGTAAACAAAATGCGAAAACGGAAATACGTATTATTATATCAATCCAACTTTATACACTTTATACATTTAATATTGTGCCAAAATGAAGATATATGATATATATATATATATATAATATATAATATATATGATTACCTTAAGAAATTATAAAACTATAGCACAAATGTCCGTATAATCCTTTAATATTTTTTAATTAAATAGTATACCAATTCTGTAATCAATAAACAATGTAGATATTGGCAAATAAAGTCCTTAGTATCTATGATTATTGAATCATAGTTTGAAGCACATAAAATTGATAATTTTAAATTATATTAAAAAAAAAAAGTATCAATCATCATCATCAAGTTGTACATGTTTAAAAAGGAAAGGAAGGTGTCGTTATTTATAAAAAAACTAAACACTAATTTTTAATGCTATTTTTGGAGAAAAAAAATAATAACTAGTCAAAAATCACTAATAAGTATATAAAACTAATTTATTTTAATCAATTCAACCAATTCATGTAATTTTGTACTCTCATCATATGAAATTATTGTGCAGATAGTTGTCTAGATTTTTTATGTAAAATAATGAAAGATAAAACAATTTTCTTATAAATTTAAATATAAACATTATTTTGTATATTATGAACAGTTTTTTAAATAAATATTTTTATTATTTTTATTATTATAATATTATAAATTTAATTAATAATTATATTAAAAAGTAGTAAAAAAATATAATAAGAACGCAAACGCAAATAATTAGTAATTATAATAAAATTAAAACAATTTTAAAACTGTTTAAACATTCTTTAGTTTTACGGTATTTTGAAGTTTAAATTTTCTTTTTTTTAACGGATTTAACCAAATATTCAGTTTTGAACACATATTAAAATGGTTTAAAGTTAACACGCATAAAATATTCCGGCTATCAGACACATGTATTTCACAATTTATTTAAAGAAATATAAATGGTAGTACGAGTAGAATAACATTCATTAATGTTTTCATTTACGTTTTCTTTTACGTTTTAGAAAAACATTGAAAATCAAAAAAATTCACACTAGTATTGAATTTCCTATTGAAATAGTACATGTCGTACAATTGTGGTTTTAAGTACCTACAGCAAAAATACCACTCAAACACATTACAGTGAAACCAATACATCTACAATATAAATCAATATAAAAATAATATACATTTCTTGTTATAATACTTCAAAAATAAATGAAACTTAAAACTACTGAAAGAGTTATAATTAATTTAAAAAAAAATTATATTCCTACATTATCCAAAATATATAAAAGAAAAAAATTGTAATGCAAGCTCACCACAAGGAATAGGATGTCTTTTGAGGCCTGTGAAATTACTTTTTATAGCTTGGCCATAAAATTGTATACCTCCAAACAAATCAGCTAAAAATAATATAAATATAAATAAACTGCTTAAAGATTATTTTATTATTAAATTTTAATTAATGTGTACTTTTAAAACCTCTAAAATTAAATATTGTATTAAACAAAATATTTTATTTAAAAATGTAATTTACAATTTTGTTTAAGAACATTACATTTATAATTTATTCTAATATGTTTTTCTACAAAATATTTACTAATATAGTTAATGAATTATCTAAAAAATATTATTATCGTTTATCTTTTAATATTCTAATGAATTTTAAGTGTACTTTTGACGTTTACATAAGCAAATAAGAAAATTTAAGAGCTTTAAGACTTTTTAGTCTATTCTTTTTACTATAAAGAATAAAACATTATTGGAAAAGAAGTTTTGTTCGTTTCACTAAATATAAGTTATAAAGTATAACAAAGTATTTTACACATTAAAAATTTCTAAATAAAAAACAATTATACAATTTATGATGAAAACATTTACAGGAGATATTTTCTTTTCTATTAACATTTTTTTTTATTTTTTTTTTTTTTATTTTAATATTTATTTAAATTATAAGTTTTTTTCATCTATTCTAACTAATTTTTAATAAAATTAAAAAAAGGTTTTAATTTATTAAATAATAATTAATGGTTCATGAAAAACATGATTAAAATTAAATTAAGTTGTACTAGACTCAGTTATTTAATGAATATTTTATGTACTAACCACAAGTGAGTTGGTTTTCGTCTTCTCCGTGTGGGCAATCGCGAAAATTATTACACCTGTATTTATTTGGGATACATATATCCGAATTGTTACACAAGAATGTACCTTCGTGACATTGTTTCGAACCTATAAAAACCATTTAAAAACCATTTGACCCGCATAATTAAAATGTTCAAACATTATTTACCATAATTTAAATACAAAGTAATAAGAGTCAGTGAAAATATGCATGTTATTATAAATATACTAATTATAGCCGATCGAGTAGCTGCCATAGTGGTTTTTAGAAATCTAAACATTGAATACTGTGGGGCAGTAACAGAATTTGTAGTTTTATAGGTATTTGTTTAATATTTAAAATACATGTATTTGCTCATCATTTATCCCCTGTTATTCTAATCCGTGACGATCGCCTTGTTTACAATATTATTTAATGGAGACCATAATTGAGATTGAATGAAATAGCGCGTAGATGGAGTTTGCAATTAAATCTTTTGGTATACAGTTTGCATATTAATGTATTACAATGTTACTGGCGCACTCGAATTATGAGTAAACACATCGAAATATATGGTATATTCGTGTTGATTGTTTAGTACATTTCACAATAGTTAAATTGTAAAACTAAATCGCATTTCCAATGAAAAAATGAAATTTTAATATCTGTTATAGCTATGGTTAGATGAAAAGTACTATTTTAATTTATGCATTTTCCGTTTAATTCACTGAAAAAGTACGAGTATATGATCATATTTTGTATTTAAAATGTATAATTGAAAGCGTATTGTTTACAATGTACTCATACGAATAAAAAAAATAAAAAGTTTAATTATTTTAATATCATAATTTTGTATGATGATACTTTAAATTTTTCAAATAGATAATATAGCAAGGTTTTTCTTTGATAAATATAATATACAATTGCTATAATGTATTAAAGTATAAAAGCAATAAATATATATATATATATATATATATATATATATATATATATACAATACAATCAATTCAATATTAATCGATAACAAAAACAATCATATTACTTTATTTTTATATTAATTATTTTTAATTATATTTACTACCGTTTATATTATCGATAATAATTAATGACGATAAAATAATAATTATTACAGGTATAATATATTATTTAATTACAATCAATGAAGTACTTTAGACCTGGAATGGTGATTTGAATATTTTATTTTTATCATATTTAAAAAAAAAAAAAAATGTTATTCAACGAAAAAAAATATTATTGTTATAAGATTTATCTTATTTTCATATCCTATTATATTTAAGAAATACATTGAATAAAATATTTGAATAATAAGTGATGGCCACTAGTAAAAAATATTTTTCAACTTCTAAAAAATAAAAATTTATATCAATAGTTAGTAAATAATAAAATTACATAACATAGTTACACATGGGTTTTTTTATAGTTTGAAAATACTTATTTTAAAAAATATCCAAAGTTGCTACCCAAATTGTGATACTCAGTATTTAATGGCTTTGAAAATATTATTATTTTATTAATTATAACAGCTATTATGCAATACTATAATTAATATTTAATTCAATTTTACTTTTAGATCTTTTAAATTTATTTAAAGTTTATTTATATATAATATTCATTATTAAAATAATATTTTCTTCAAAGTAAAAAGTACAATGTATTTTTTAACTACCTCTGCTTGGACGTCAAAATTATTTTTATGATATAATTATAATTACTTTCAAATTAAATTTCATCATTTCTTTTTGCTCTCTTTTATATGTAATATAAATAGCATAAACAAATTGAATAATTTGCAATTTGTTAGTTAGAAAACATTAATTTTTGTTGAAAAAATAGTATAATACTTTAGTTATTACAGTTTGTAATATATCTAACTCTTTCTCAAAGGAAATATTTCTCTATATGTTCTTTGATATCATTTTATTAATATTCTACCATTGAAATTAAAATAAAAATATAAACCATCATATTATTAAAATCAGCAGTCACTAAGAATCACTATAATTTTATTAAATTTGTTGAATTTGAACGATTACAGTGACGTTAGTGGTTTCGTCATGTAGACATTACTAATTTTAACAATATGATAACATATCTGTTTATTATAAAATCAACGATTCTACTGGTTGATTAACATACTACTTTTTGATTAGATACACATTTTGTGATCATTACCTGCTTATTTCTTTTTTTACGTTCTTCTTCAAGAAGTAGAAATAATAGTCTATCAGTTTGGGTAAAAAAGACAAAATGAATAACAATAGTTATCATAAGATCATTTATTACTGAAAAAACCATTTGTATTAAATAAAATCATCTGTGTCTTCCACTGACGCATGAAAATCTTTAGTGATAGGGAACTACAAATATTTACAAAACCATAAATCTCAAAATATTATGTGAATTCATTTTTTTCTTTAGGTATCAATTAAATTAATTTATCAAAACAATATACACTCTTATAAAAATAATTTAATTATAAATTATTATTTATTTACGATGACAATATTAATGGAATGATTAATGCATATAATGAATACTGTATTTGTAAAACATTATGTAATTATTCAGTTTGCGTTTTTAATGGTTTATTTTTAAAATATTTTAGTTATATTTATTTCTATAGTTAATAAAATAAAATTAGCGCGTGTTCGACTGCGTAACCAACCATAGGGTTGAATACAATAAAAGAAAAAAGAAAATATTCTTTATGTGATTTTCAATAAATCCCAAATACATTTTATTTCAGTTAAAATAAAAATTATAATTTTTTATAAGTTATAACCTAAAATGTTGCATTTGAAAACTATACACTTTTAATTTCGACCACAATAAGGTTGATAGAAAAAAATCGCGCATTTTATCGATCATTGTATAACAAAATACCACATACTTTTAATGGGTTAAAACCGCACTCTATTTTTAGTGTTAAAGGACGGATAAAATATGATAAGCTACTATACAATAATCATGCTAACACGTTTTAACGTTTTAAGTCTTTAGTCGCCAATAGTTATTAATAATTTACCTATATACCAATTAAAACCTAAGTGACTTTTACATTTTTACAATGAATATTAAAATTATTGATAAAAGTGTGTAATAGTGCGAGTATGGTTTTGCGGGGTTTGTAAATAAAACAATGAAAATTCAAATTTAAGAGGTAGTTTCAAATCACGATATATTAAGCTGCCAAAATGAAAAAGGAAACGAAGAAGATAAGAAAAATTTTAACAAAATATGTGTAAATCGAAGATTTATAATCAAATAATCTTATTTATACCTATTCAAATATAGAGTCCATGAAAAAATTATTAAATTAGTTTATTACCTTAAGACATTTTATTGTTTTCATAAAATTAGCCGAAATTATTTTCAAAACATATAAAATAAAAACTAAATATATGATATTTGAACTATATCGTATAATTGAACTATTTATTTTTTATTTTTTTATCTTTTATAAATTGTAAAACAAGAACCACTTCATATTCATACTCACATGAAAGCTTTAGATCATTTTTTCAAATGCATTAACTATTTATAAATTTAAAATAATGCCTTGTTGACGTACCCAATTATATAACCTTACTTTACATCGACACATAATCAATTGTATGTGCCTAGAAATAAATCTAACTTCAACTTATATAGTTTCTCGGCAAGTATAGGTATACTAGTATACAGAAACACGTATATTGATTTTTGTTTTTAGTGAAGCTCATGAAATTAATTGTGAATTTCACCCGTTAACTTGAGAACATAATGCGTCTGTAACAACGCGGAACTGTATCTCAGATCACTTTGCTGCATTGGGTTTCAATTAACCGGAGAGAAAAGCTACGTTTGAAAATCAAAAGCTATCAAAAGCTTTTTCTATATCTGTATAAATCACACTAGCTTATGGTTTATTATAAATAAATTTAAAATATCGTATTTACATACATGTACCTATATTTCGCACATTCATAAGCGTGCGCAGAAATATATTTCAGGGGGTGCTTACAATACTTTTGGGCTTTATCTTAACAAAATATGTAAGTATATTTAATAAATTATAATCTATAAATAATTAAATAAACAGAACTTTCATTTTTTTTTAAATAGTGTGGTATATATATAGTCATAATAAATATGTTTTCCTTCAATTTTTATATTTTTCTTATATTGTTATATCTCTTCTCTCTTTGTTATATCATAATAAGTTTTGCACAGTAAATTATAAAATTTTATTTTATTTTTTCTATTACGAAACATAAACAATTTTTTCTCAAATATTTTAGAATAAATTACATTTAATTTAAGCAACATCTGTTAAGATACGGGTTTCTTATTCTTAGACTTAAGAGGTACTTTACTTAAATGTAGGGCCCCACTTATTTCATTTCAGGGGTGTTTGGACATACCCAACAACTCCCGTGCACACACCTATGCTTACAGTAAATCGATTTTGTCTAAAACCATGTTATTTATTTATTTATTTTTTTTATTATTTTTTAATAAATAAGACATTCTTAGCCTATGGCTATCTACATTTATGGATAATAAAGAATATTAGTTTGTGATTATTTTAAAAGGATAGTTAAAAATAAATAAAACATTAGTAAATGAACAAATGTATACAGATAAGTGAACTAAGTAATTATATGATTACAGTAACTAATACAAAATTATATAAAAACAATAAACATTTACAGATTAGAGACTGGAAGTTGAGTTTAACTAATTAGGTCGTGAGGACGGTCGTTTTAGACGTCGTTGAAGTGGTGAATGAATATGAAGATTATAGTGAAGCGAGTCTGTTGAGTTGAGTAATGAGTTATGGAAATTTCTTAATAAGATGTGTATGAGGTCTGCAATTTTAACAATTTGAAGGTCTTTATGTATATAATCATTACGAATGAACCACGGAACATTTGTGATAATTCTTAAAACTTTATTTTGGAAAATTTGGATTTTTTTTAAGTGTGTAGACGAACAGTTTCCCCAGATTGGGCATGCATAAGTAATTATTGGTAGTAGTAATTGCTTGTATATTAGTATTGGAAGTAATTGGAAGATGTAAGTAAACCACCATCTTTATAAATTAAATTGATTTGAGTCGTTTTATCAAGTCTATAAATATCGTAATTAGTGATTTCTATTAGTAAAACCTAATTTGGTTGACATACTATGATCTGTTAGCCAAGATTCTATAGAAATAAAAACATCATGTAATGAGCATAAAATTTAAGTTTTTAAATATGTGAGTTTATTATTTAAATTATGAAAACGTTGAAAGTTAAAATGTGTACTAGTAGTTGGTGTATTTATTATTTTTTTATAATATTAAAGATATTATTAAAGCTTTAACGTATTTGACACTTATATCTTATTCACCGTTTTCTCTTCGAAGTGTATGTGATTTTCTAAAATTTGCCATTTAATTTTGCTGTTTAATTATTTTATCTGAAGAAAACCGGATATTGGAAAATTTTATTGAAGATTTCAAATTTTTTTATACTCGTAGAATAATAAAATAATCAGATTGATTTGTAAAGTTAATTTTTGTCGGACGTAGTTTATCAGGAGTGGCTAATTTAATTTTACAAAACGGAAAAATATAAAATTTAAAATATTTTTATTCAGAACACTAAATATATTTTTAATGTTTTCTAAATCGATATTACTATCCTCTTCAGAATAATTAAATAATATTATATTATTCTATCTTATTTCTATATTCATTTATTCAGTAATAATATCAAGTTCAAATGAAAAATAATCGTATTGGTTTTCATTATTTTCTATTATTAATATTATTTTTTCAATATCATAAATTTTTGATTTAAAATCACGACTCTCTTCCATTAGATTGGAATCATTAACTTTTTTATTTATTTGATTTAATTTTTCATTTATGAATTTAGTGAGAATACAATAATAATTATAATGAAATCGCTGTTCGTTGGAATATGATTGTTATCGACACGAAATAAAATGATTGTTGCGACGAACATAAGTCTCATATCGATTATTTTGCAGTACGTTTTTATTTTCTACAAATGAATAATGTATACTTTAAGTCAGTGTCGTTAGGAATTTTGCAACAAAATGACCATTACCATTTATGTTCGATGGCATATTTAACAATGTACTGTTATCGTCGACAATTGGACCGATCGAAATAATGCGCAACGCATCACCTACACGGCGTTTTTGCTCTTACGACTTACACCAACCGTCCGTGCTCAATAAAGCTCTCGGATAAATCAAAAATATATTTCAACCAGGGATTATTAAAATACATTTTAGTGAAGGTTATGAAAAAAAAAAAAATAGAAATATTATTGCGAATAGTTGTTCTATATTTTTCATACATTTCATAATTTGTCAATATTTTCATTCGATCAATTCATGACTTACATTTTACATTCACAAATAAATGACGTGGAAATGAAATAAAGCACTAACTGTGTTAAAAATGTCCGTCGTAATCGTGTTTACATTTATTAATCCGAACAGTGTATTCTGACCGAGATGAATATTTATATTACGGACACGAATACGTTTCTAGTTGATTTTGCGAACTTGTGGAGAAATCGCGCTTTTTTTTAATCGAGCCGGATTATCAAAGAAAACAATTTCGAATTTGGCCTGCGGCAAGAGCTTTACACGGGAAGTGGTACGAACGGCTTTGTATATTTTCTCTTTACGAGAACCCGTGCAAGTATAAGTTCTCAACTACTTTTTTTTTTTGTTTTGGAGGGGGGGAGGGGAAACAAACGCAGATATTTCTCGGATCAGCGCGCGGTATACACACAAGCCGACGTACGTTTGGACCGGCCGCCGGGCGTCCACCACGACGATAACGCACGTTAATCCTTTGCGTACGCTCGTACGTCCAGCGGCGATAAAACGTCAATCCCGGGGACGTGTCGCTTGGAACCGACGGACCTCGCGACCACCGCGCGCAGTTCCCGCAGAGGGACGGTGGCGGTGGCGGCGGCGGTGCATCAAAGTACTACCGGCGTGTACACGCAGCGAGCGCGGTAATCGCGTGTGTGTTCGCCGTACACGAACGCGCACCGCGCACGCGAACACGCGCACACGAACACGGGACGGCGCGCGCGCGCGAGATCACTGCATAGGGCACTCCAACGGTGGGCGCGATCGTGCGCCGGCGCGCGCGTCCCCCGTCCGAACGATTCGCGCCCGGCGCTACGACCCATATAACGGGCGGGGGTGGCGTTTTCCCCCGTATAAAAGCACGCGAGTGCACGTAAGACGAGCGCATAGCGGTCACACGTTCAGTCGGCTGAAGCAACTACCGCCGGACCGCAGCGCGTTGTCGCTTCTAATCGACCGCGTCACTCCGACAAAAGACAAAAGTTTTATGTATTAATTCCGTTGCGTTGAAAACGTAACGTTCACTCCCGTACCTACCGCCCGTGCGTGTCACCCCGTTGCACGTCGGATCCCGCCGTTTCTTAACCCGCATCGCATAATCCTTCGCGCGTCCGTCCTCGCACCATGAACGTTTCCTCCGTCCCACCGTCGTCGCGACAAGCCGACGAGACAGCGGTAAGCACGGCCGAGGCGAACGATAATAGCCCGAACGCCGCGGCTGTCACGGCCGCCGCGTCCGAGCCGATCGACGACCAGCAACGCGTCGTGAACGCCGGTAGTTCGCGACTGCTGCGAGAGATCGCCAAAGCTGAACGCTTCGCGGGCACCGATAACAGTAGCACCAGCCTGACCAGCAGCAGCAGTAGCAACAGCAGCAGCAGCAGCAGCAGCAGCAGCAGTAGCGTTGGCCGCAAGTGTCACCAGCAGAGGACCTCGGTGGGCGCGTTGCCGGCCGCGTCCGATCGCCGTCGCAGTCGTCAGTCGGACGGCGCGACCAGTTGAGGGTACGACGACGACGGTGATGGTGATGGTAATTGCTACCACGACCGCGACGATAGGCTGATGCTGTGGAAACCCGGCACCATCAACACCGTCACCGCCGACCTGACGACGGCCATCTACAAAGCAAAGTATCCGAACATGTCGCTGTCGCTGTCGCCGCCGTTCAACAGGCGCCGGAATCTGCCGTCCTACAGGGGCCGTTGTAGCTTGTGAGTATGCCTACGTAAACACAATAGTAACAATGTCTCCCAATGCGTACCTATTAACCGGAACGTAGTGCTTTCCGTACTTTTCGATTCGCAAATGATAGAAAGAGAATTTTATACAAAAATAACGTCCCCCCGTGTGGTTTACAATACGTATCGTGGAAATTCGTTCATGTGCCCGCGATAACGTCAAACTGTTGAACGGAGTGAAACACTCGTGCGCATGCGACGTGGCATTTGCATCAACCGTCATACAACTGTCGTACGTTGACACTATGGTAAAAAAAAAAAAAAAGAAAAAAAAAGTGTTATATTATACTCACAACTAACTATCGATATTACGATAACGTTGGTTGTAATAGTGATGTTATTTAAATAATAATAGCAGGGCTTGATTTAGGCGTTTTGAGGCCCTTAAAAATTAAAAATGTGGCATTTTATGCTAGTTTATGTTTTTATTCTTTTAATATTATATTTTGCTTATATTTATTTTATACGATGAGAGTTGTATTTTTGGGGAAAAAATAATAAAAGGTTCATAAAAATCCGAGACCCCGAAAAACGGAAGCCATAGGTAGTAGCTTATCTTGTCTATTGGTAAATATGACCCTGAATAACAGGTACCTGTGCGGCGGCGTTAGCGTAAAAGACCGTGGTTCACAAAAGCTCGGTAACGGGGATTTATTTTTATTTCATAATTTCTCCTCTGTAACTAAATGGTTACGTATTTACGCATTCAAATCGCTACTATCATACCCCAATTCCGTAATACCATTTAAATATAGTTATATAGTTAAATTGTATAGATACGCCTGCCGTTTGACAAAATTACAGCGCTTACACTGATGCAGCCGCTAGACGTTGCTATAATCGTTTGCATTCGACTTGATAAAAACAGTTAAAAGCGTATCAATTGTAGGCGTGGATAGACCTATTTTACCAGTAGCGTGGTGATGATATTATTTTGAAGCAATTGCTCCTTTAAAATGTTTGGTAGGTAAGTGGTCCCCCTGCCAAAAAATACTTAACAATTAGTATAACAATAATATAGATTTTTTTTTTTAATGATATTTGATTATTATTTATTAATATTTACATATTATAGTAAAATATTTTGATTTTACTATGATTATATTAAAAATTGAGTAACAAAATAATTTTCATTGAATACGGGACATAATAATAATACCATTTTAAATGTAATATTATTACATATGACCTCGATTTAAAATATACTAAGAACGCTTAAAAACTTACTTTTAAACACCCCCCCCCCCCAGAAAAAAATTGTATCTACGCCACTAATCATAGCATCATATTAAATGTTTTAAGTGATAGTAAATATTTGGCGCACAAATGTACTCCAAATGATCCGTTACACTAGAAACAATCGGTGCTAAGTAATTGCAATACCAATGTTAACAACATTATTCAAAATTTACATACACTGCATAGATCAAGATACAAGATAATTATTGAGTGTAATAAATTTACTAGATAATTAAGTAAGTACATCTGATCATACAAATCAGTCTAATATACGTATATTTTTTAAATTGTAAATGTTTTGTTATGGTGGAAATGTCGTTAGGATGAATAAAGGGTACCTTATGATTTATACATTTTTGCTCTTCACCAAAAATTAGTTCAACACGCCATTGTTTTTTACAGGATATGCAAAACGCTGCCGTTGCCCCTCCCCCACCCCAATTTAAAGTTATTTTAATTGTATACAATTCTGGTAAAAATATACACACAAATGTCTAAATAATTGTTTAATTTAAAATTTTAATATTTTCGTTAAAAAAAAAAAACAAACAAAAGTGACTGGATAGCAATTATAACTGTGTTCATAATAAGAATTTAAATCAAATTATGAAATAAAAAATTAATTTATAACGCTTGAGTAATATATTTCGATAGTGTAAATAAATAACATCATAGTCGTATAATTTAATAGCAAATCAAAATACGTTTGATGGATATAATTCTAATTGATTACCACGCAATCCTGCGTTCAATTGAATTTTTGAAATCATCAATAATGTGTTCCGGATTGAATTTTATATTTTATATTTCTCGCGCTCCGCAGTCGAAAACATTAATCTATTTAATCTCTCCTGAAGCGCAGCACTTCATAACTTCGTTAGTACATTAAACCGTTATTACATCAGTACATAAATTGTGTTTCCTAAATAAATAAAAATCTCCGGGACCGAATATAAAAATCCAATAACGATTGCAGTGTACGTAAAACCGTGCGATATAAATGTTGAAGACCGTCCACGCCATGATTTCTGTTCGTACAGTTTTTACTACGAGTAAGGCTCCGTGTTCAAGGTATACAGCTGCATAACCAGCATACCCCATGCGCACGACACCGTTGTTATTGCGTCGAACGTGCAGCCGTTTCATTACCGTACCGTTGAACCCGCGCTTGAATCGTCGTCGGAACGAGCGCCACGCGACCACGTAGCCGCGGGGTGCACCGAGATAAAAGAAATCGATAATATCGTATAGTGTTACCGCGCCGCCGACATACCTACATCACGCGCGAACGCGGCACGCGGACATTTCTTCACGCGGCTTTCGGACGGACTCGCTGCTCGCGGTTCGTCGATTTTTCCGTACATTTTTTTTTTCCTTTCTTTACACGTGCGAAAAGTTTCGTTCTCGGAGTTCGCCCGTCCCGTTCACGGCGGGTGCCCCGTTTAACGATAATATTCCGCGCGTCTTGGGCGCGTTGCAGGAGTCCGAGGCGCGGACGATGCGGTGAAGTGATCCCGTAATCCGAGTTGATGTACAACGATCATTTGCGGAACGTTGTTGGTTATTTGGCGTTGAGTCTACAAAGTATGACGAGTCCGCCGCGATGATTAAATTCCCGCACAAAAGACCGTTGGATAATAATATAATCGCGTTTCATTGCTTCTGGACGAATTTATGTATCGGATTAATTAATAATTTACACTTCCTCCGCTGAGTCACGTCTCGTCAACAATATCGCAGTCGCCAAACGCGTGAACTTCATGGTATATTATATTATTTTTAGTCGTATAATTATTCGAGTGTGCTTAGTGTGAAAAGCCAGATCTATTCAAAGGATTTTCGTCAACGGCCTAATTATATTACAAACCTCTATGTACGCATTGTTGCAATACATACACAGGAGTATGTGTATGCAATATGTGCCGATTCCTGAAACCGCACGCTTGAGATAAAACGCAGTACGAAACCGCACACTTTTGGTACGTTAAAACCGCACACATTTAATAGATGAAAACCGCACAATTTTTAATATTGTATTCAATAACTTCACACTTATGATTTAGATCCCGATTGTTATTTAATAAAATAAAACAAGGATAATAAGTAATTAAAAGGCAACAGGTACGGTATAATTATATATCTGTTAAAAGTGATTTTTATTTAGAGTTTTAATTTATATTTGCATCTAAATCAACCTGTAAAATAACTATAAATAATAAAATATATTCAGACATAATATTTTCAATATAGGCGTTTAATAAGCGTTATAATAAATAAGGATTTATTTAGTTTTTTAATCTAAATTTGAAAAATTCAAGTTAAATTAAAAATAATAATAATTATAAAACAATTATACAAAACAATTATGTTTTCTAGGTATAGGTATTTACTAAAATTTTCTCTCTTTGACACTTAATGGTTTTTCTTCTTCTTGCTGATCTTTTATGTCATTAGCTACTTCAAATATTTCATTAAACCCTGGTTGTTTTTTTTTGATCTATTGGTATCTTTCACCCGCCTTTCAGTTTTATTCAGCCAAAATTGTTGATTTGATGAATTTGAGGATCGAATATAAATGATTTTTCAACAACGCAATATGAATTATCAATAGCGCAAATAGCGTTTAACAGCGCTTTAGAATAGACCCTGGTGAAAGGAAATATTTTATTATGAATATTAAATAATTAAACACTCCATACGGGGCAATACATTATCCTACGTCCAACGAGTATTATATTTAAGGCAGGTTTTGTATTATACAAAAGGTATACCTAAATGTATGATAGAAATAATAGAAATAATAAATAATAGCTTACCTGTATAAGCTTTCAAAGTTGATTGAAAACTTGCGATTTTTCAAACGATAAGTATGAATATTTTAATTGAATTTGGCACGATAGTTATTTTTCATCAGGTAGTCAAAAAAACTTTTATATCTTAATTAAATTTTCTAAAAAATATATTTCAACTTTCATGTTTCTTTTTTCATCTATTTAATACTTACGAAAATAAATAAAAATGGGTCATTATAATATTGATCCAAAAAAAAAATAACTTACAATTTATAGTATTACATTATATACAATTTATTTCTTAATTATTATGACTTCAACTAAAATTGTATCAGGTGGTTGGTATTTGTATCTGTTCTTTCATAAAGTAGGTACATTGTATAACCGTATTTACCATAATCGTAGCCTATAGATTTAATATTACTAATTATAATTATTGAGTTATCATAATAACTTAAATAATAGTATTATTAAAAATGTTGTCACTCAATACGATTAAAGGTACAATTAATATTACACATGCATTTAGAACTCATTTATTCGTTTCTTTCCCGTACTCTAGTCATTTAAATGTATAATATTTTGAAATCGTTTAATTATCTATTCTACATAAGAATCTAAGATATAAAATATATATATGTTATGTAAGTATCTTATTAATTGTAGTTCACTTAAAATTAACATTTAGATTAATCAAATGATTTAAAGTATAAACACCAAGTATAAATAATTAATTATTTACATACCTACCGCATTATCAATAAAACGCAGAAATACATGCGATAAAATATACTTAAATAACATAAATTCAAATAAATGTTAGGATATTAGCTTTTAATTGTAATTTCTTAACGTTTTGATTAATTTTAAATATCTGAGACATTTTAAATGTCATATTACATAACGCGTATTGACACTGAACATTACTGTATACATACAATT